GTTTTATCAACGGAAAGTGGAATATATTATTGTAACTATTGTAAATGGTGGTTTGAAAATCAGAACACGTGCTTTGAAGGAAGAAAATGTTCATGTACATCAACGTTTGATGCTAAGTGTCAAATTGAAAATTGTAAAAAAAACATATACATTCAAAAAGAAGGACGGAAGCACAACAAACATGAACAAACACCTTAATGGTCACAAAGAAATACAATTTGAGTACACACAAAAACCATTGTCAAAACAAAATGAAATTTCATTTGCAGTGAACGTTGAACTTTTTAAATTTATGGTATCTGGAAGCCTTGCTTTCAGGGTCATAAACAATGAACACCTTAAAAAGGCGTTTGAAATCGCGAATTCCAATGTGCACGTGGTGTGTGATAATATAATGAGGGAAGGCATTTTGGAAGCAGAGTTTGGAAATGTTCAATTGGAAATTAAAAAGTCAATTGATGGTGTTGATCCCAAATTTTTATCTGCATCAACCGACATCATGAGCAAATATGGAAATTCTTTTATCACTGTCATTGTGCATTTTCCCAACGAACAACTCGACTTTGTCCATGTTGTTATATCTGTCGATTATTTCCCAGAAGAACACACTTGTGATAAAATTTTAAAGTATGTCACTACGTCACTCGGTTGTGTTGGAATTAAGGAAAAGATCGGGTTTTGTGTTGTTGACGGTGGAGCAAATAACAACAACCTTGTTAATTTTTGCACCAGAAAAATACATTGTTTTGTTCACAACTCCAATTTGTTGTTTGGTGACATCATTGAACACTACGAATGGCTTGGGACACTTCTTTTAAAACTGAACAAATTTGCTAGGTTAATTAAAGTGTCTCCAAAAGCAAAAAGTCAACTTAAAAACAAATGTCTTAGTCTGAACATAAAATTCCACTGTCTCCATGGGTATTGCAAAACCCGGTTCAATTCATGTTTTAGATGTTTTACTTCCTTTTTAAGTATGAAAAATGCCTTAACTAAAATAAAGGT